GTTTGTTACTCTCTTGTAACACCTCTAATCTTCGCCACTTATATGACCTTATTGTGTTTGTTACTCTCTTGTAACACCTCTAGTCTTCGGCACTTCTATGACCTTATTGTGTTGCAAGTGCCGTAAAACTCAACTCTTATTAAAACAAAAAAAGGGTGGCTGGAGGATGCCACTGGCAGCTTCAGCATCTTCTCTCTCCATCTGTCTGTCTGTCTGTCTGTCTGTCTGTCTGTCTGTCTGTCTGTCTGTCTGTCTGTCTGTTTTAATGCATTTTCTCAGCCGCGAATCTCTTGCAGCCAAAATATACAAGACTTCAGTGGGAATTGGGTTTTTTCTAGCCATCGCTCATTCACAATATTGTTTGAGCTTTCCAAGCGCTCGTGCGTTCACTCGTACACTTGTGAGCGGTCATGATGAGAAGTAGTGGAACATTCTTAGAACCATTAGAACATTTGGCTTTGAAAATATTTTAAACTTACCATTTAGAATATGTTTTATGATAGCAATGAAAAAAAGTCTGGGCTAGATTCTATGATGAGATAACAGTTTTGGTCCTGTTATTTCCAGTAAAGACTAACAAATAACAAAAACCTGGTTACTGATACTACCGTTGATCTAAATGTACTCAGTTGTTACTATGTTGCACACGAAGGGAAATGTTGCGGGTTCTGTGGGATGGACAGAGAGAGGGTTTGTGTTTGATTCCCTGGAAAACTAAGATTTTGACCTAGATCTTATGGCCTAGATCAAGAAAACTACTCTAGGCTGTGATGTGTGCCACAATCTGTTGTAGGTGCTGTTTTTTAAATTCAGTGATAGAATTTGTGGTATTTCACACTGAGGGAAATGTTGCAGGTGTGTTGGGTGGAAAAGAGGTTTGCGTTTGTTTCTCTAAAAAGAATTAAGACTATTTTACCGTAGATCTTGCGGCTTAGATAAGGAGACTAATCTCCCTCGTGGTATTACTGTAGGTAAGATCAAAATCAAAGATACCTCAATAAGCAACTGTTGTAACTATTACCTTATGACCGGAATATTGTGAGTGGTTGTTCTCTGAAAAACTAACCCACCCCTCCCCCCTTTAAAAAATGGTATGTAGATGTGGTGCCTGATAAAGAGCTAGAGGCGACTGTGAGTCTATGAACTGACAGTTTGTGGCGGGG